AAACAAATGTATTTAGTCAGCCAGCCAAACATCCTAAAAATGATGTAAGTACCTAATATTTGTAAAAGTTTATAAAACTATCTATAATAATTTTACAAATTTAATTTATTTAATTTACCTACCTAATTAAGTCAATATTAATACATTTTTTTTTAATGGATGTTAGGATGATTATCAAATGCTTGACTCTGAGATGCCATCAACAGATTTTATTAAAAATACCATTACACCAAAAGAAAATGTAAGAATAATAATATTAACTATAAAATAAAAATCATATCTATAATTTATTTTAAATAAATTGTTTAAATTTGAATGTTCTTTTTGGGTTAAGATTTTGGTATAATTTAATTCATTTACTATAGGTAATTTAAATAAATAAATAAATAGTTAACATTTAAAAAATAAAAATATTTTTGTTAGGATTATAACAAGCTTGATTATGAGTTATTAGAATTAAGAGATTCTGTCAAAGAACCCATAATACCAAGACAAAATGTAAGAATAATAGCTTTATTAAATTATTGATACCTACAGAAATGTATTTATTTTAATTTTATGAATACATGTATGGTTCCATAGGATATGAACATACTGAATTTTGAAAATATGGATGTGGAATTTTGTTTAGATGACCCTTATAAAGATGTGTCCAATAATCAATTTGTTGTTATCGAAATACCTTCAGCTGTCAATAATAGTCCTACACATTCTGTCAGTAATATTTTAGATACTGTAAATCCAACTACAAATCTTCTTATGAACACAAGTATATCTAATTTGCAATCATCAACATCCAAGTTATCTTCGATAAGTTCTGATCCAGAATTTCCTGAGCCTGTAAAAGTAGTAATCTATGGTAGAAAACGAAACTTAATAAATCAGAAAAAACAAAAACAATTAGTTAAAAATCATATAAACTCAGATTGGTCTTTTGAAAACAACTGTGGTCATAAAGAACCTAATATTCAATGTCAAATTTTTAAACTGTCAGTTGAAGATTTGAATTTGTTTCGTTATAACTTATCAAAATTGTCTAGCAAGATTCAACAAGATAAATTTATTTTAACTTTCCTAGCAGTTACAAGACCAAAAAGAACAAATCGCCGTAAACCTAATACAACTGTGAGAAATGTAATTAAATACTACTTACCTAATAATAAGGGGGATAGAATACCAGTATGCATAACAAGCTTCACTCAAATAACAACTTTTACACGTAGGCGATTAAATTTGTTGTCATCTACTTATATGTTAGGATCTAGTCCCCAAGAAAAAAGAGGAGGTGCAAGATCCACAATTCAATCAAATGAAATCAGTGAAAGTATTATTGCTTTTATTTGTAAATTAAAATGTAAAAAGAGCCATTATGCAAGGTGTGATACAGGTAGAAGTTACTTGCCACCACAGTGGTCTGTAAGTTATTTATGGAAACAGTGGAAATTTCAAAGAACCACAGAAGAAAAACCAGTTTCATCATTAAATAAATTCCATAAAATATTTACTACCAATTTTAATTTGAACTTTGGCCACCCACGTCAAGACGTATGCAGTTTTTGTACAGAACTAGGAGTAAAAATAAAAATTGAAGATAATAAAGATATGAAGATACAATTAAAAACTGAACTTAATACCCATAAAATTCGTTCAAAAATATTTTCAAAAATGATGTTAAATGTTAAACCTGGTGAGATCAATGTCTCTTTTGACATGATGCAAAATCAAGCCATTCCTAAACTATCCGTCACTGATACATTCTATAGCAGGCAAATATGGGTATATAATCTAACATTTGTGATTAATTTTGGTAACTCTGATCAAAGTTCCCAAAATTGTTATTTATATACATGGGTAGAATCAGAAAGTGGTCGAGGACCAAATGAAATATGTTCAGCCTTACTTAACTTTTTGGAACAATTAGAAGAGCGCGTTAAAAATGAAGATAACCCCCCTAAAATTCTTAATCTGTTTTCAGATTCGTGCTCTGCTCAAAACAAAAATCAGTTTACAATCGCAACATTATTATATTATATAAACTGCAGACAAACAGTTTTTGATAAAATAAATCATATCTTTCCAGTTAGGGGGCATAGTTATATGCCCCCTGATCAAGTATTTGGGCGTATTGAAAAATGCCTCCGTAAAAAAGAAATTATTGTATCACCTACTGAATACCACGATACATTTAGGCAGTTTACAAAAGTTCATATATTAAATAAAGATTTTTTTATGTATGACTTTAAAAAGTTAGCAAAAAGTATTATGAAAGTAAACAAATTTAAGTCTACTGAGCAAAAAATGTTTTCATATAATAAAGGGAAAAAAACATTAAGCATTTCACCAAATTATGACGAGAACTCACTTATAACAGTACCAGTCCTTAAAAGAGGTGCTAATTTATCTATTTTTGATACATTAGAGAAGTTACCACAAATTAATCATGTGAAACCCGAAAAGCAGAAAGATGTTAAAAATTTAATGCGGTTTTTTGTAGTTCCAGAAAATGCTTCAGAATTCTACAAAGATATTTTTAAGTCAAATGACATAATAATTAATGCTGAAGACGTTTTAGAAAATGAAAATGGGATTCCTCTTTATACAGAAGATTCTTTTTGAAATAATTTACCCTAAACTTATAACTTATAGATACTCAATATATTATACCTACACCTACTATTTTATATTAAAGTTGGTTTTATTGTTTTATTTTGTTACTATGGTTTAAGATTTTAATTTGTTTGAGTCATTTAATTATAAAAATGATTTTTTCTTAAAATTGTTATAAAGTATTACATTGTTTTTTTAATTTTATTACTATTGCACTATCTAAAACTATTATAATGTATGGGTAGGTACTCAACATACTATATTCTATTTTATATTAAAGTTGATTTTATTATTTTATTTTGTTACTATGGTTTAAGATTTTAATTTGTTTGAGTCATTTAATTATAAAAATGATTTTTTCTTAAAATTGTTATAAAGTATTACATTGTTTTTTTTTATTTTATTAGTATTACACTATCTAAAACTATTATAATGTATGGGTAGGTACTCAACATACTATATTCTATTTTATATTAAAGTTGATTTTATTATTTTATTTTGTTACTATGGTTTAAGATTTTAATTTGTTTGAGTCATTTAATTATAAAAATGATTTTTTCTTAAAATTGTTATAAAGTATTACATTGTTTTTTTAATTTTATTACTATTGCACTATCTAAAACTATTATAATGTATGGGTAGGTACTCAACATACTATATTCTATTTTATATTAAAGTTGATTTTATTATTTTATTTTGTTACTATGGTTTAAGATTTTAATTTGTTTGAGTCATTTAATTATAAAAATGATTTTTTCTTAAAATTGTTATAAAGTATTACATTGTTTTTTTTTATTTTATTAGTATTACACTATCTAAAACTATTATAATGTATGGGTAGGTACTCAACATACTATATTCTATTTTATATTAAAGTTGATTTTATTATTTTATTTTGTTACTATGGTTTAAGATTTTAATTTGTTTGAGTCATTTAATTATAAAAATGATTTTTTCTTAAAATTGTTATAAAGTATTACATTATTTTTTTTATTTTATTAGTATTACACTATCTAAAACTATTATAATGTATGGGTAGGTACTCAACATACTACATTCTGTTTTATATTAAAGTTGATTTTATTATTTTATTTTGTTACTATGGTTTAAGATTTTAATTTGTTTGAGTCATTTAATTATAAAAATGATTTTTTCTTAAAATTGTTATAAAGTACCTATTATACTGTTTTTTTTTTTATTTTATTAGTATTTCACTACCCAAAACTATTAATGTATGGGTAGGTACTCAACATACTACTTACTATTTTATATTAAAGTTGATTTGATTTTATTGTTTAATTTTGTTACTATGGTTTAAGATTTTAATTTGTTTGAGTCATTTATTTATAAAAATGATTTTTTCTTAAAATTGTTATAAAGTACCTATTATACTGTTTTTTTTTTTATTTTATTAGTATTTCACTACCCAAAACTATTAATGTATGGGTAGGTACTCAACATACTACATACTATTTTATATTAAAGTTGATTTGATTTTATTGTTTTATTTTGTTACTATGGTTTAAGATTTTAATTTGTTTGAGTCATTTAATTATAAAAAATATTGTTATAATACATGACTAATAAAAAAATTGTAATAATAAAATTTATTTGTTCATATTTTTTTGTATCTGGTTAATATTAATAACATACAATATACTTGTATTTTTCAAACAATAAAATTTTCTTAATATTTATTAAATCTAGTATAGTGCGTTTTGAATTAATAATGATTCCATGTATTACAAAACGGACTATTGCCCGACTCAGTCCAAAACGTACTATGTGTTGGCAATAGTTCGTTTTGACACAAGAGGTAAATTTAAAACCTTGATTAATTAACTTAAAACTTGAAAAAGATAAATTTTGACAGTTCAAAGTTATTTCTTTTCTTATAATTTATTGATAAAAATCATCAGTGTAAACTCACACATAGTATTTATACCAAAAACAGTTTTTCTTCTCTCCTGAAAAGTTTGAATTTTGGCAATACTGCGTTTTGGAATGTCGCCCTTCAATTATGTTTAAAAATACTTACACTCGATATAAGATCCCGAGCAGGCACCCTAATATTGTGCGTATGTTTGGATATTTCCATGATGAAACTAGAGTATTTATGATCCTAGAATATGCACACAACGGTTCGTTGGCATGTTCGGCGTCGTCCTGTTTTTAGGCTCAGCTGAAACAACTGACTGTCCGACAAAGGCACTGTAAATATTATTTCTACTAAATTTTAGTACCCGAAATTCAATAATTGTGTATTATGAGTATTAAATCATATATGTCATATTAAGTACCTATACATAGTATTAGCTTCTAATAATTGGAACTGTCATTAACGTAGACGTAGATCTGGTAAGATGATGCTGGGCTAGCGCAATGCCAACGATTTATGGCGTGTCCGTTGAAATTGTTATTATATTTGTTATTAAATTGTAATTATATAGGAGTGCTGCAGTGCTAGTATCAAGATCCGGACTTTCCAAATCAGTCATCCACGCGCTTACTCTGAGTTTTAAGGACTTACGGAATTCATTCCAATTCGTTTTACTCCAGTCGTATTTTACGAAAGGATCTGTCCTGTCATTCAGGCGCGCACAGTTCTGTGTGACGTCGAAGCTTATGATCGCATGATCGCTCGACGTCAAATTGTGGACTGCGGTCCAGTCCGCCACATTCACGCCATAAGACGTAAGGGTCACGTCCAAGCACGCAGACCCACGATTTATAAATGTATTCACACTGCCCGCTAGGTTATTTACGGTAAGGTTTTTCCGACCTATGAGTTCCACGACCATCTCTCCGCGTTCGTGCCAAAGCGTAGACCGTGCGTTCACGTCCGCGCAGACTAACACGTTGCCGCTTACCGAGTCCAGTACGGATTCGAGCGCGTCAACATGTGTCTGTGTTGGTTCCGAAAATTGAAAGTATGCTGATATCAGCACTAAGCGGAGATTTCCAACAGTGAACACGGCTACGGAAATATGGGGGGTACTGAGATGCTGCAAACTCAGGATGCCGACTGCGGGGTTCGCGACGACGATGGCGGCTTTAGGCCCGACCCCGCTCGCTACTACCCTGTACGGACGTCTGTCGAACAGATAGATCCCTTTACAGTCGGTGGCTGGCTCTTGTATTAAGCAGACGTCAATACTTCTACTCGACAATAGCCCTTCAATCTCATGCATCACCCTCTGTGATCTCCTCGCATTGATTTGTATGACTTTAATTGTCGTCTGTCGTCACCAGTTATTTCAAGTCTACAGGAGTCGGTATCGGTTGTGCTACTATCCGACCCTGCCGTTCCTTGGCGAGAGCCTGTCTCATTTTGAACTTGTGCGCCATCTGAAAAGGAACAAATTGATTCACGCTGGTTAAAAACCTTTCCAGTGTGATATTTGCAAGACAAGACATAGGGATTTATCAAATCTCAAGTGTCACAACATGTGTTGGCACTTGGCATTCAAACATAAAGACTTACATTTGCGTCATTGATAAATGTAAGGAATGGCCAAAAGCTTTTAAACAAAAAATCATATTTTAAAATTCATTGGTGGTGTTATTAACCCCTTGTTTATATAGTAATATAATATAGGTAACGTAGAATTTAGATGGGTAAGCACTTTTGTAAGACGACGTCCGTCGCCATTGAATAATGCATAGTGCATAAGTCAGTCGTGAAATAGTCTTATACTCGACTACTGTGTGTACCTACGTTACCTACGTTACCTGTGTACCTACGTACTTTACAAATCTTTGAGACTTAAACGACTTTCTGGTTTCACTCTCAATAACTAAACAACAGTAAATCATATTATTGTATTATGATATGATATAATACATTATACATATTATATTATGTGCATCGAAAATTATGTTTAAAAATACTTACACTCGATATAAGATCCCGAGCAGGCACCCTAATATTGTGCGTATGTTTGGATATTTCCATGATGAAACTAGAGTATTTATGATCCTAGAATATGCACACAAAGTGCTGTACAACGAATTGCAAGCACAAGAAAATCAACGGTTCTCTGAAGATCGGTAAATATTAATACAAATTATGCGATATTAAAATTGTTTTTATTTTATTATATTGTTCTGGACATTTATAGAAAAGTTTTAACTATAATTTATTTTACTGAAAGAAAAAAATTACTATGTACCTACTACTATTGTGTTAAATAGGGCAGCATTTTATATTAAGCAATTAACAGAAGCGCTGATTTATTGCCATGATAAAAATATTATACATCGAGATATAAAACCAGCGAATCTTTTAATTACCAAAGGAGGTGACTTAAAAATTGCTGATTTCGGGTTGTCCGTACATTCAAAGGCTATTATAAAGTAATTTTCAAAAAGGCCACTTTGACTTCAAAGTTAACACATAAAGTATGTTCTAAAAATTAAAAACTATTTTATTTTTCAGGCGTACGACACAATGTGGAACCCTGGACTATATGCCACCTGAAATAGTTAGCGCAAACTCTTATGACAAATCATTTGATGTTTGGAGTGTAGGTGTATTATTATATGAGATTTTAGTGGGTAAACTACCTTTTGGAGCTTCAACATTTGAAAAGACGAAAGCAAGGATATCAAATGCTCAATATATTTTCCCTCAACATGTTACTCCACATGCTCGGGATCTTATATCGAGTGTAAGTATTTTTAAACATAATTTTCGATGCACATAATATAATATGTATAATGTATTATATCATATCATAATACAATAATATGATTTACTGTTGTTTAGTTATTGAGAGTGAAACCAGAAAGTCGTTTAAGTCTCAAAGATTTGTTACTACACAACTGGATAAAAATTCACACACATGATACGCGGTATCATGAAATTTTATTATAATAATTTATTTGTGTCAATGATCATATTATGTGATAACTTACTCTACTATTTGATACATTGTTTATTGTTTTATATTTTAATTAATTGTGTGTGATCACATTACACTTTTAAACTAAATTAAATTAAATAAACATTTTTTATATGGCACATTGTTTTTGTCTGGAATGTATTGATATTTGATTTTATAATGAGTTTTTGTAGTGAAACTTCTTTACTTAGGGTATGACAAAAAAATTAGTCACGTGACTGACAGATCAGAGCGACCATAGATAATATAAGAATGGATAGGACTTGCCTATTCCAGTTCCATATGAGGCCGTGTGCTTTTTTTGGGGAAGAGAGAAAGACGATATGAGGCTTTTTAAGTTCATGGTGCAAAACTATTTTATTAAATAAATAATGATAACATGAACGATCAGAACGATTTGTACAGCTATTTAGATAAAATATTTTGCAATTCATTTCAAGCTCCAAAGCTTAGTGCATGTCCAAGTTAAAAATCGTAAGTGTAGAAAAATTAAAAACAATATTCAACATTACAATATAGAGTAATACTAAGAAATTTCATACATTATTCTTTAAAAAGCATCTTCTAAAAATTGGAAATGACAAAGAGAGTAATTTTTCAATAAGTATGTATAAGGTTAGATCCAAACAAATTATGAACTTAGATAATCCCAAAATTTACACTTATTTTAACTACCAACAATTTAATAAAATATAAAAGTCTAAGGGTATTAAAGTCATATTCATAGTCGATGCTTAAGAATGTTTTCTCAAGCTAATTTTGATAATTTAAAAATAAAAAAATTGTGATAATGACAAAAAGCAATGCTTAAGGTAGATCCCAACCAACCTTAATTTAAGTAATACTTTTTATTTTCTTAAGCCAAAGTCTATCTCATTTATGAATCTCATTTGAGTCATTATAACTCATAGGTCATAAGCAATACTTATTCTTAAGTATCAACCTAAGAATATGGCCCTAACTATTTTGATGCATGCCTAATATAAATCAATAATAAAATAAATAATATTTACCTCTTATCTACACATTTGTTTCTATCTAACTTGTTATTTTTGGTTGTAATATTTGAATCACTAACAGATGTAGCTGCACTAAAAAGTCTGAAAGTGATAGGTAGTTAAATTAAATGATTTAAATATTGAATAGGAATAATAGGATGAAAATAAATGTGGCTTACTTTCTTCGTGTTTTGGTATGTTTAAATTGTATGTATATTTTTTTCATCATCTAGCCAATTAGTCACTTTGCATAGTCCATTATATTTAGATGCACTTGTAATCGATGAATTTGCAATTGTTTTTCTAAATCTAAATTGAACAGTATTATAGTATTATTGTAGTATTATTTCTAATCTTATACATCATGGGTAATAAACGACAAATAAACTCAGCACTTGGAATTGAAGGAAAAGATTATAAAACTACAAAAGGAAATTCGGTTGAAGAAAATCGAACTACCATACCCCAGCATCTCAAAGAATGTCAAAACTTACCGTTATTTATTTATATTGCACACCCTTGGCGCCGTTTCAAGAAATTTTATGAAAGTTTTTTTTAAACATTAGTTCATATAATTTTTTTTCTTCGATATATAATATTATGATATTATCCCGATTCGTGCTAACAATAAACACATATATTGAGGAAGGACTTGATTTTGAAACTGCAATATGCAATGACAAAACTTACAATGATTTCAATTTAGTGCAAGTGGTTATAGAAAAAAATTAAAGGGTAATAAACGACAAATAAACTCAGCACTTGGAATTGAAGGAAAAGATTATAAAACTACTTAAGGAAATTCGGTTGAAAAAAAATCAAATCTACCATACCCCAGCATCTCAAAGAAAGTCAAAACTTATCGTTATTTATTTATATTGCACACCCCTGGCGCCGTGCATAGAAATTTTATGAAAGTTTTTTTTAAACATTAGTTCATATAATTTTTTTTCTTCGAATATATTATGATATTATCCCGAATCGTGCTAACAATAAACACATTTTAGATTCTGAGTGAAACGATGAATGTACTGATTTTACAATGATGTGTGTTTTAGATTCTGAGTGAAACGATGAATGTATTGATTTTACAATGATGTGTGTTTTTTTATTTTTTTTTTTTGTGTCTGTCATCACGTTTTAGGACAGTAAAAGTGCTTGGATTTTCTTCATCAGTAGCTTTTCTGATAGGAAAGTGAATATCGTTGGTGCATTGGGAAGGTCAAAATTTAAAATTCCCAATGGTTTTCACAAGCGCCGGGAAAAACAACATAAAAATTAAGGAAAAACGGGAATTTTTACGCAAAATTGGTTTTCCAAAAAATCGATTTTGGTTATTGGTGTAACTCTAAAACAAATGAACGTGTTGTTTATAATTGCATTTTCTATACACGATAACATTTTCAAAATATTTTGATTTATTTTGAACTGTTTAGGGACATTTTCATTTTCCATTTTTTTTTAGTTTTTTTTCTAAAAATATCAATAACATTTTATTTGTTGGGTAAAAAAGCTTGAAAATTTAATAGAAGGCTCCTAGTTTATTGTTTCAAAGGCAGATGAAAAATATTAACAATCCTTAGTCACAGTTTTTTTTTATAAGCATTTAAAGTTTATTTTTTTTTGATTGATTTTTTTCATTGACAAAATATGGAAAAATTAAAAAAATTAGCAAATTATTTTGAGTTAAGAATTCGCAAAAAATTTTTCTTTTTAAATCTAAGATTTGAAAATGTAATACAAGATTACTCATAAGTTTGTCTACCTTTATCAATAAAAAAATCTCTAACGGAAAGTTAAATTAAATTTTTATGAGCGTTTAAAGTTCATAATTTTACAATATTGGATATTCACTCGATTTCTCATGTAGCGATTTCCTTATTTTGTTGTAATTCAAAAACGAATAACTGTAGGTACATGAAAATTTCACTGAATGTTTATATTAGCATTTCCTATACACCATACAATTTAGAAAATATTTTGACTCTTTTTGAGCTGTTTACGGCATTTACAGTTTTCAATTTTTTTAGTTTTTTTTTCTATAAATATCTATAAAGTTTTATATGTTGGGCCAAAAAGTGTGAAAATTTAATACAAGACTCCTGATATATTTTTACAATGGCTACTTAGGTACTAGGTACTTGAAACTTCGAAAATGCATTATTATACATCTATGATGGTATCAGGGTTTGTTGTAGATGTATAACGCGTTATAAGTACCTAATGAATATTGTGATATGATTAATTTGGAATTTATTATAGGACATATAGGTACCTATTATGGGTATATTTTTTTTAATACCATAGATAAGTATATAATATCTTATACCCAGACTGACATACCGTCTCCACTCAGAATCGCTTTTCTTATACAATGATATTATATCATTGAATTCAAATTTAATACCGTCCATTATACAGTGACCCACTTGTAACCTACAGTACAGCAGAGCGACATCCACTTGCCCACCTTTTTTTATTTATTTATATTTTTATTTTTTAATTTTTTAATTTTTTTTTATTTTTGTGTCTGTGTACACCATAAGTAGTCGAAATAATGCTTCGATTTTCAACTTCAGTATCTTCAACACGGGGGACGTTATCCACAGTCACTTGAACACTACCACTGAATAAGTTTGGGCTAAATTTGTAATCTCAAATCATTAAAAATATCGTATAAATAATTAGTTTGTACAAATACATTGATCTGTACGACTGTACCTGTGATAATATTTAATTGACTCTGTTGTGTACCTAACATAGCTATTACCATTGATTATAAATATACTCAATGAAAACTTGGATTATTCATTCGGGTAAGTTATTAATTTATTATATTTATATTCTACATAATAAGCAATTGGCATTTACATTAAAATTTGTTAGTTAAAAATATCAACTATACATTTTAACTTTTAAGTAGGCTAGGTTAGTAGGTACCTAAAACTAAATTTAAAATATAATTTTTAATTTAGGAAATATGGCCTTAGACAATTTAAGCCCGAAAATGCTGCGCAAGAGGTTTATCTGTAGTAACTTTGAAATTTTCAAACTTGTCAAAAATATTTTATTTTTATATGATGAAACTAAAAATTTACGGTTTTCGTAATTATTCCTATATCTGTACTATAAGACGTGACTTCGTACGAAATTTCAAGATTCTAAGTTCACGGGAAGTACCCTGTAGGTTTTGATTCCCGTGCGAGTTTCGAAAATTTGCGTAAATTTGCGGCCTAAATGGCTGTATCTTTTGATTGCGTTGGCTTAGAAGGTTGATTTTTCTACAGCTTCCAGGGACTGTAGACCTGAGAATGATATAGAAATTTCAGTTTGATACCTCCACGAGTTCCTGAGAAAAACGGTCTTGACAGACGGACGGACGGACAACAAAGTGATATTATAATATGTTTATGTAGGTATAATATATTATTAATTTGTTCCGTTTTTTCCTCTTGAGGTACGGAACCCTAAAAAACAAAAAAAATTGAAAACTGAAAATATCCGAAAACAGCTCAAAAAGAGTCAAAATATTTTCAAAACTTTATGGTGTAAGTATACGAAATGCTAATATAAACATTCAGTGAAATTTTCATGTATTTAACGTTATTCGTTTTTGAATTACAACAAAATAATGAAATCGCTACACGAGAAATCGAGTGAATATCCAATGTTGTAAAAATTTGAATTTCAAACGCTCATAAAAATTTAATTTGATTTTCCGTTAGAGATTTTTTTATTGATAAAATAAGATAAACTTATGAGTAATCTTGTATTACATTTTCAAATCTTAGATTTAAAAAGAAAAATTTTTACGAATTCTGTAATAAAAAACTCTACCGGATACTAAAATCAAACATTTTTATGAGCGTTTGAAATTTAAACTTTTACGAAATCACGTAAAACAACGATTTAGCCTCAAACGATTTTTGAAATTTATTTTTATTCAAAAATTATAAGATGTAGACATTTGACCA